AGCTACTTGTTTATGTGTGATTTCCTAATAGTGTCTTAGGTAGTCTGAAAGTTCTGGTATTTTAAATAACAGTAATCAGTAAGTCGTTCATTTATTATATTTAGTTGTAGGGCGATTATTGGTTATAATATGAAAGATTTGTGAAGGTGAAACAGCAAAGTGTCCTACAGAACACTAAAAAAAGTTATGTAATCCATACTTTCACAAATTTTGTGTTCGTATACCAGTAATCAATGGTTATATAGAAAATGGATGGATAAACAGTAAGTCATTCATTTGTTATTTTTAGTATAGATGTTAAAATATGCAAAATAATGGTTTTAACATAATTAAATCAAGACATTGATGACATGTAGAAGTACTGTCACAGAATATTTGTTAAAATCTTATGGACAGTTGTTAAAATAATAGTAATTAAATATATACATATGTGAAAGTCTGCTTTTGTAAACATGAGATAAAGTATCATGTGTAAAATATATTATGTCAAGTTATTTTTTGTTTGTTTGTAATTAAGCACAAAGCTGCACAATGGGCTATCTGTGCTCTGGCCACCACGAGTATCGAAACCCGGATTCTAGTGTTGTAACTTTGCAGAAATACCACTGTGCCACTGGGGGGCCATATGTCAAGTTATAAAGTTAAACTAGTGAAAGTGTTATTACATAAACGTTGTATTGATGATGTAAAATGTTGTATAAAGTCAAATTAGTAAAAGTATAAGTTTTAATTATTGTATAATATTGCTCTTTTTGGGGTGATTTAAACCTTTTGACGAGTCTGTTTATGTAGATCAGATTGCAAAATCTTTATTGTGAGAAAATATATAAATTATTAAAGAGAATTATTGTGTCCAGATTTTTTATTATATATGTCACTGAAATATTTAATCACTTGATTTAATAAGTTTTAATTAAGTTATAGTCCTTTTAGGACAGGGAATGCAATTACCAAATAAATCAGTACTGAAAATCTTCAACCACTTGATGAAGTTTTAATTACTGTATCGTCTTTTTAGAACATATAAATGGTAAGGAAATGTAATTAATAATTTAATGATAAGCATCCTTTTATGACAAATTCAATATAAACGATTTAATGAATTAGTGTTAAGAGTCCCTTTTCAGGACTTCATTTAATTATAAATGGATTAGTGTAAAGCGTCCTTTTTAGGATAATTTAATTATAAATGATTTAATGAACTAATTATAACTGAATTAGAGTTAGGGTCCTTTTTAGGACGATTTAATTACAAATGATTTAAAGTGATTAATTATATAAATGTATTGTATGAGTCATGGCAGCCTAGTGATTCATCTTTTACTTTGTGGTACTATTACGTAATCATCCATTATGGCAGCCTGTCATGGGGGTTAGCACCGCGTCCTTCTGGTGACAAAGTTTGGAAACTAGGACGTCATGTCTTTGATTACATCCCCGTATCGTACAAGTGCTGGGATAACTACTTATATTGCTATACAAGTATACTGCCTTTACACATTTTCAAGTATTCTGGTAGTTAATAAATATTGCCTCAAACAAGCCTGAAACAGAAGGTGAAGGAAAACTGTGGTATGCATTTTCTCGATGATTATGGTTAATGTACAATTTTACACAATTTTCGCTTAACTCATGTAGTTTTGGCATCACATATGATCAATAAAGTTAAGTTGATTTTGTTCAAGTTGCCTTTGTTAGTCTATTGAGGTATTATCTGTTCTAGCCATGGAAAAATGATATTTATTCTGAATGCAGGTCAACAGCAGTATCCTCCAATGGTAGGTGATATCTAGAAGTCACAGTGTCTTGCAAAAGTATTCACCTCCCCGCAAAGTTTCCACATTTTGTTGCCGTCTGAGCTTGTAATCATGGAACTTTCAAATGGGACTTTATATTTAAAATCTACACAATATACTCTGATATTATGCAAGTTAGATTTTCAAAGAAAATGAGAATATTCTCAATTGTATAAGTATTCAATCCCTTTGCTATGGCAACCCTAAATCAGTTCAGGTGCAAAATATTAGTTTGAAAGGTCACAAAATTAATGTAATGGTCTCTGTCTGTGTGTTATAAAAATGGTTTAACTTGACTTCAGAGTAAAAGCATCTGTTTAAGCCAAAACTCACATAGTGATACTACAAACCAACCATGAAAACCAAGGAGTTTCTCATACAAGTCATGGATAAAGTGGTAGAGAAGCACAGATCAGATTATCCCTTTGAGAACGGTGAAGTTCATCATTAAGAAGTGGAATGTGCTTCATACCATCCAATCACTTTGGCCTTGTGCTTTGGGTCATTATCCTGCTGAAATGTGAATCTTTGACCCAGTTTTAGAGTTTTGACTGACTCGAGCAGGTTTTCCTTTAGGATTCGCCTGCACTTTTCACCATTCATCTTTCCCTTAATCCTGATAAGTTTCCCAGTCCCTGCTGATGAGAAGCATCCCTATAACGTGATACTTCCACCAACATGCTTGACAGTTGGGATGGTGTTAACTGGGTGATGTGGTGTGTTGAGCTTGTGCTAAATGCAACACTTTGAATTTAGACCAAAAAGCTCAATTTTTGTTTCATCTGAACACAAAACCTTCTGCCACATGTGTGCAGTATCATTTACATGCTCTGTTGCAAACTCCATACCAGATTTAAGATTATTCTTTTTCAGTAATGGCTTCTTTCTTGCCACTCGCCCATACAGGCCAGGTTTGTGTAGGGACTGGGATATTGTTGATGTATGAACACTGACTCCCATCTATCAAAGTCACTGCTAGCTTCACAATGGCATCCCTAACCACTTTCCTGCTTGCACAGCTGCATAGTTTGGAAGGACAGTCAAAATGGTGTGGTTCCAAAAAATAAAGTGAATGTCCTGGAGTGGTCTAGTCAAAGTCCTGACTTGAATCTAATAGAAAATTTATGGCACCACTTGAAGATTGCAGGCCATCAATGATCCCCAACAAACATGTCAGAACTGTAGCAATTTTGCCAGGAAGAATGGGCAAAAATTACATCATCACATTGTACAAATCTGGTATAGACCTATCCAAAAAGACTCATAGCACTAATTGCTAGCCAAAGATGCTTCCACCAAGTACTGACTTAGGGGGCTGAATAATTACGCAATCAGCAAATTTCAGTATATATATCTTTTCTTTGCAGGTTTTCCTGACATTCAAACTCCTTCACACATAACAGTGTTAAGTTTGATCATCAGAGTTTTGAATATAAACAAGTTCATTAAACAAATTGTTTACATTATGATAAAATTCTAATCAGTAACATAAATCCACCAATTGATCACAACATAAAAAAACACTAAGCCAAGTACCTTTATAAATTTTTTTATTAATTCTCACTAACTTACATGTCACAAACAAATTAGATTCCATATTTAACCTTGTCTTAAAATTAGTACACAACACTAAGTAAACATTCACAAGATATACGAGTTTCTACTAATGTACATTCATTAAATTTCTTTTAAAATCCATTAAGAACTTCCTGTCAGGCTTGTCTCAAAATCTGTACACAACACTACAAAAAAGTATACACAATATACATCCCTTTCTGTTAATGTTCATTCTTTTTGATTCAGCCCTTTTAAACCAGAAATGTACAAATACATTTCTATTAACTAGGCTGATAATTCACAACTCATAAAATATCATTGACAAAAAGAGACAACATTATGGCAAAAAAATGAACAAAAGGTGATATTTAGTAATTACCAAGCTTTGATAAACTATCCAATGAATAAAGACAGACACCTTTAATATATCCAGTAATTAGAAGAAAAAATCATTAACATAGAAAAATTGGAGGTTATCAATGTTAACCTTCTTTAAAAAACAATATCTACCTGGTAGCTTGAAATAAATCAAGGATTAACTAATAGTAAATGAATAACAAAATGTTGCTTCTGTATTTCTTGCACAGAGATGATAATTTCCATATTTTCAAAATCACAAACTAAGAAACTTTACATTGTCAGTTTTATATTCATCACTAAACAAAAATGGAATGAAACGTTGAGTGATATTCCTGTGAACTGACACTCAATAACTTTCATGTACTATATAATGCCAAAACAACATGTAATTTCAAAATGGTACATTATTAAAAATAACCTTATACAAATGCAGTTAAGTGTGATTACTGTTTAGCTTGGAGTCACTGAAGTTATTTTGTGGTGACTATAAATGCTTTATGTGAAGAGTCAACAGCAATAATGATTTTTTGGTATGGTAACATATTAAGTCAACAATATATTTTGAGTAAGTAAAGCCTGGTTGAGAATACTAACACAGTTATGCTGTCACTTCCTCACAGTATAGGAAATGAACAATAAAAACATCTTGAACAAATCACTAAGCATGTTAATAAAGTCCACAGTGCCAGTTTTTATGTTGCATTAATACACTTTGGTGTCAAAAGCAGACAGTGAAGATCCTTTTTTTTTATGATGATGTGTATTATTTGGTGCTAACAGCCAAAACAGATACCTTATGGTGATCACAATAAAAAGCCAATTGCATTGTTGATTTTCCTATGGTGTCCTTCAGTTTGGGGGAAAAAAAAAACGAGTCAGTACCAAAAGTACTTTGTAGTAACAATTTCTGCTGGACAGAGAAGAGACTACTTTATAATGATCATAACTTTGGTGTAGGAGATCAACCTCAAAGGTTTTCTTTAATGTTGATCACTACTGCTCGATTTTGTGTCAGCTGGGATGAGTTTTTTTTTGTGGTTGTCATTAAAGCTTGTTTCAGAAAGTCAACAGCCAAGATTATCATATTTCTAAGTACTGTAGTTTGTTTTAAAAATACAATAGCAAAGGCATTAATATGTTCAGATCACTTCATTTCTGGAATGAGAGTCAACCAAAATTATTTTGTGTAATCTCTGGTTGTAGTTATTGTTTTATATATATAAAGTGAACAGCAAAGATGTTATTTTGTGTTGATCTCTTCAGCTTGAGGTTGAACGTACATAGTTCAGACATTTGTAGTTATTGTAGTCACTATTGCTTGTTGTAGAAAGTAGAATCAGGTCACTTGAGTACTGATGTCAGTTTAAGGATGGAAATACACAGCTAAGACTATGTTATGGTGGTTGTGGTCACTGTAGCTTGTTGTAGAAAGTAGACTCACTCACTTGAGTCCTGATCTTCTCAGCGGAAATACACAGCTAAGACTATGTTATGTGGTCGCTTGTAGAAAGTAAACTCGGGTCACTTGAGTATTGATGTCAGTTTAAGGATGGAAATACACAGCTAAGACTATGTTATGGTGGTTGTGGTCACTGTAGCTTGTTGTAGAAAGTAGACTCACGTCACTTGAGTCCTGATCTTCTCAGCTTAAGGAAGGAAATATACAGCTAATACTATTTTATGGTGGTTGTAGTCACTGTAGCTTGTTGTAGAAAGTAAACTCAGATCACTTGAGTATTGATCTTCTCAGCTTAAGGAAGGAAATACACAGCTAAGACTATTTTATGGTGGTTGTAGTCACTGTAGCTTGTTGTAGAAAGTAAACTCGGGTCACTTGAGTACTGATCTCAGCTTAGAGATGGAAATACACAGCTAAGACTATTTTATGGTGGTTGTAGTCACTGTAGCTTGTATAAAGTAGATTCAGATCACTCGAGTACTGATCTCAGCTTAGAGATGGAAATACACAGCTAAGACTATTTTATGGTACTTGTAGTCACTGTAGCTTGTTGTAGAAAGTAGACTCAGATCACTTGAGTACTGATCTCAGCTTAGTGATGGAAATACACAGCTAAGACTATTTTATGGTGGTTGTAGTCACTGTAGCTTGTTGTAGAAAGTAAACTCAGATCACTTGAGTACTGATCTCAGCTTAGTGATGGAAATACACAGCTAAGACTATTTTATGGTGGTTGTAGTCACTGTAGCTTGTTGTAGAAAGTAAACTCAGGTCACTTGAGCATTCATCACTTCAGCTTGAGATTGAACATATACAGACAGCTAAGACTATTTTATGGTGGTTTTAATCATTATAGCTTATTGTAAAAAGTAGACTCAGGCCACTTGAGTGTTGATCTCTTCAGCTTGAGGATTGCAGTACACAACTAGTTCAATTTTATGGTGGTTTTAATCACTATAGCTTATTGTAAAAACTCAATAGCAGCAGTAACTTCTGTACTTATCTTCACTGCTTGGTAAAGTAAGACAACAAACACAAATTTTGATGTCCATCACTGCTATTCATGAAAATACATCAGTTTTAGTAGTGACTAAATTACTAGAATTTTTTTTTCACAATATATTTCATATATTTTGACTTAATGTTTTTCTCTTATAGCAGAGAAACTGTTTAATCATTCCATTACACTAGTAATGAATGTTAAATATCATAGCAGACTAGCTCCATATTTGTTTGATATGAACTTTCTTCATTTCTGTCTCTTACAGATACACACTAAAGCTGTATAACCTACAATTAGGACTGAGAGATCTACTCAGAAGTTCAATTATTTACCAAAAAATAACACAGTCTAACCTTAGTGTTAAACAGGATGTCTCAAACTGTTGTAACCAGATGTCTAATTATTGTAAGTGATCAATTTCAGTTCTCTGATATTGACTGAAGAGTCTATTTTTACTTCTGATGAGTAGGGCTCCAGATTTACTATTTTCCAGGCTCTCCAAATTTTGAAACTATCTAATCCACAGCAGATCCTTTGTCGAAGAAACACTGTGAATTAACAGAGAAGTTAGTTTTCAGTAGTTGGACAATATCTTTTTGTTCTTCAGTCATTGTCACACCAGTCTGTTGTTCATTTCACATGCTCACTTCACGGACACAAAAGTACGGCTGTTCACTAGTTCATGTTAAGTGTATAAGAAGTCTTCTGGAGAACTGGATCTCAATGTATTAATTGAGTTTAAGTATAAATGAAAATATGATGTTTGCAACTTTTCTTAGAAGCACTATCTAAGAAGACATAAACTGATTTTGAAGGCCTTGATAGAAATTGTAGTAACTAATTTATAGACAGGAAATACTAAATCAGAAATGATGATACTTGTTTTTTAGTTACTGGTATGCAGGAAAGCAAAATAGTGCCTAGAATTCACACAGTAAAATCTAGTCTCTGTCAATCTGGGAACAGCATTCACAAATCGTAATGTAGAATTTTAAGTATCATATATTTCTAGTTTCTGGTTAATCTTGAATCATAATGTTATAAACAACAATGTCACAGGCTGGTACAAAGTTTTTCTGTGTTTAACAAACTTCCTGGAAGAGATAAGCATATAACTTGATTATGGGATATGAAGAAACTTGAAATTTGTACATTATCATAAAAATCTCGATTTCAGTAGTGAAGAATTGGCATAATTCACTCCAATGTGCATTTCAGTATGCTATAGTATTTCAATGTCATCAGAAGTTTGTTAAGCTTTGTATCTAAACTGGCTGTGCTTGATATCCAGCACAATAAGAACTGAGTTTTTTTTAGCTGCTGTAAACTCTCAAATTGTTTTGTTTTTGTAACAAAACAGAAAAGTAAGGAGAGAGAGAGAGAGAGACATTCATTGTGCAGTCACAGATAAATCATTCATGACCATATGTAATAGCTGAAGCCTTGGGGTCTTTAGCATTTATTTGATACCATGTTGCTCTTCAGTTAATGCTGATCATAAGAAGAGCTTTTGTATTTTTTCTTCATTTAAATGTAATCATGATATACCTAAGACTCTTCAGGTGTCTCACGCAATTGTTTTTGTTGGTAACAAAGAGAATACAGCTTTACGAAATCAGCAAATCATTTGGTGATCCCTTCTTCCAAAATGACCTCTTTAAGAAGTTAATTTTCATGACCAGGGAAAAAAGAAGTGTTTGCTGCACTGAATCAAGCTTCCAAGAAACCATAAGTTTAAGCATCCCTTCTCATGAACTAAGTGAGATGAGAAGACATATTTTAAGTTAAAAAATGTATCGACTGATTCACAAAATTGTTTTATTCATGCAGATGACCAACACTAGTATGGGAGATCTTCACCAGTTATTGGTGTAGGTCAATACGGTACAGTAAGACACTCAAATTTCATAGCTACAATGGAGCAGTTAAAACCACTCATTGTTAGAATAATTTCTTTTTTGACTACTGTCATCAACTTGATCCACTAAATTGATGTGCATCATATGTCATTTTTAACTTTTGACATGGAATTGATCAACTGTGAGTAACTTACTACCTCACAGCTGTCATGAAACTGGTGGTGTAGGTGAGTTGCTGGGATGATATAATCACCTACAGTAGTCTGGATGATTTCTTTCTTTGCTGCTGACAAGGAACTATTAACTGTATTAGTGTGAGTAACTTACTATCTCACAGCCATCATAGAACTGGTGGTGTGGGTGAGTTGCTGGGATGATATAATCACCTACAGTAGTCTGGACGATTTCTTTCTTTGCCGCTGACAAGGAACTATTAACTGTATTAGTGTGAGTAACTTACTATCTCACAGCCATCATAGAACTGGTGGTGTGGATGAGCTACTAGGATGATATAATCACCTACAGTAGTCTGGATGATTTCTTTCTTTGCTGCTGACATGGAACTAATCAACTGTATTAGTGCGAGTAATTTACTACCTCACAGCCATCATGGAACTGATGGTGTGGGTGAGCTACTAGGATGATATAATCACCTACAGAAGTCTGGATGATTTCTTTCTTTGCTGCTGACATGGAACTAATCAACTGTATTAGTGCGAATAATTTACTACCTCACAGCCATCATGGAACTGATGGTGTGGATGGACTACTAGGATGATATAATCACCTACAGTAGTCTGGATGATTTCTTTCTTTGCTGCTGACATGGAACTAATCAACTGTATTAGTGTATTAGTGCTTGGTGGACAACAGGAATCTGAGCCATTCAAAGGTTGGTGTTAATAACACCTGATCCTGCTGAAGATAATTCCTGCTTGATGGACAACAGGAATCTGAGCTGTTCAAAGATTGGTGTTAATAACATCTGATGCTACCTGATGAACAACAGGAATCTGAGCTATTCAAAGATTGATGTTAATAACACCTGATTTATCTGCTGAAGATAATATCCTACTTGACTGACAACAGAGACCCGAGTTGTTCAAACAGTATCATTTCATTTTCTGTTAAAGAGAAAGAACTTATCAACTGCAGTGGTATTGATCATCCACTAGAAGCAGTGAGGTCAGTATTTCTTGGTAAACCGAAGCTCATCAACTCAAGGGGTTTAAATCATTTCCTTTTTCAACTGGTCCTATGAAGTGTTTGTCTAACCATAATGGTACAAGTAATTTAATTTTTGACTATCAACATGTATTTTATAAACCTGTTTCAGTCATGTTAAAACCTTTCTAGAATACTGGTAAGATGATGGTCAGTTACTTAGTGGTAAGGTTCACATTTATTAATGTTGACTTCGAGCTGATTAACTGTTCAGATTTTTATTTCACTGTTGATCAAGTTCTCATCAGTCAGAATGGTAATTTTTTTTTTATTCAACATATGATGCTCAACTGACAAATAACAGTGGTATAGATAATTTACATTTTGTTGATATCCTGGGTTCAATAAGCTGGTGGTGGTGGTTTAGTCAACTTGCTTTGTGATTATTAACCCACACCTGATGACCTGTAGGAGAGCTTATAATATATACATTTACTGGTTTTAATAACACAGCTCTCATACTGCAGCAACTTTGATCTTCACTTATTTGACACCTGTTTCACAGAAGCTGATTGGATTTGATGGACTACAGTGGATTAGATTTCTTCTCCTATAACTGCTTACAAAAACATGAATTACTGAATTTGCTAATCTTTTTTTTTCAATTTGTTTGGAGCTGAGTTACTATCCAACTGCAGGTGTTCAGCTTATCAAGTTCAATGCTATAAACGATGTCTTATTTACTTGTCAACACTGGGCAATCTGGACCCAAAGCTGTGTCTTTACTGCTGAAAGTGATGTGATGCTGTAAATGACATACTTTCAACACTGGGCAACCAGGACCCTAAACTGTGTCTTTACTGCTGACAGTGGCATGATGCTGTAATTGATGTACTGTCAATACTGGGCAATCTGGACCCTAAGCTGTGTCTTTACTGCTGACAGTGGTATGATGCTGTAAATGACGAACTGTCAACACTGGGCAATCAGGACCCTAAGCTGTGTCTTTACTGCTGACAGTGGTATGATGCTGTAAATGACGAACTGTCAACACTGGGCAATCTGGACCCTAAGCCGTGTCTATACTGCTGAAAGTGGTATGATGCTGTAAATGACGAACTGTCAACACTGGGCAATCTGGACCCTAAGCCGTGTCTATACTGCTGAAAGTGGTATGATGCTGTAAATGACGTACTGTCAACACTGGGCAATCAGGACCCTAAGCTGTGTCTTTACTGCTGACAGTGGTATGATGCTGTAAATGACGTACTGTCAACACTGGGCAATCAGGACCTTAAGCTGTGTCTTTACTGCTGACAGTGGTATGATGCTGTAAACGACGTACTGTCAACACTGGGCAATCTGGACCCTAAGCCGTGTCTTTACTGCTGAAAGTGGTGTGAACTTCACGTAGAGCTTATTTACCAAAGTAATGAAAGTTGTTTCTTACTTGACTGCCAACAAGAAAATTATTTTACATGGATCAATCTCTTGGTAAGTGGTGTACATCATTTTATTTGTACACTGATGGCAAAGAATTAATCACTTTTGTAACATTAACTATGTTATTTGAATGCTGACTTTGACCTTATTAAGATAACTATTTTTGTGGATAACATAAAAACTGTAACCTGTAGTTAATCTCTTGTTTGATCCTCACAATGAAATGATTATTGCACTGATGAGCATAATTCTTTTTCCAATGCAAGTTTACAATAAGCTAAAAAACTGTAAGGGTTCAGAAAGTCTTCATGTGGACCTCCTGAGCTGATGTAGTGTGGAAGATACAATATATTTTACTGATGACATAGTTTTAATAAAATAAAATAAGTTGGATCATTTCTATAATACCACAAACATAATTATTTGACAGAAAGTTGCCTGTAGTCATATGAATCATTTCTTATTTGACTATTATTAATAGGAAGTTGATTGCAGAGGTATGAATCATTTCTTATTTGACTGCTATTGAACAGGGAATTGACTGTAGTTATATGACTCATTTCTTGTTTGACTGCTCTTGAACAGGGATTGATTACAGTGTTATGAGTTGTTTCTTATTTGACTGCTGTTAAACAGAGTTGACTGTAGTCATATGAATTATTTTGTTGTTGGACTGCTGTTGAACAGGGAGTTGACTGTAGTCGTATGAACCATTTCATATTTGACTGCTGTTGAACAGGGAATTGACTGTAGTCGTATGAACCATTTCATATTTGACTGCTGTTGAACAGGGAATTGACTGTAGTCGTATGAATCATTTTTTATTTGGCTGCTGTTGAACAGGGAGTTGACTGTAGTCATATAAATCATTTCATATTTGACTGCTGTTGAATAGGGAATTGACTGTAGTCATATAAATCATTTCATATTTGACTGGTGTTGAACAGGGAATTGACTGTAGTCATATGAATCATTTCATATTTGACTGCTGTTGAACAGGGAATTGACTGTAGTCATATAAATCATTTCATATTTGACTGCTGTTGAACAGGGAATTGACTGTAGTCGTATGAATCATTTTTTATTTGTCTGCTATTGAACAGGGAGTTGACTGTAGACATATGAACCATTTCTTGTTTGACTGCTGTTAAACAGAGAGTTGACTGTAGTCATATAAATCATTTCATATTTGACTGCTGTTGAACAGGGAATTGACTGTAGTCATATGAATCATTTTTTATTTGTCTGCTATTGAACAGGGAGTTGACTGTAGACGTATGAACCATTTCTTGTTTGACTGCTGTTGAACAGGGAATTCACTGTAGTCGTATGAATCATTTTTTATTTGACTGCTATTGAACAGGGAGTTGACTGTAGACGTATGAACCATTTCTTGTTTGACTGCTGTTGAACAGGGAATTGACTGTAATCGTATGAACCATTTCTTGTTTGACTGCTGTTGAACAGGGAATTGACTGTTGTTGTATGAATCATTTTGTTGTTTGACTGCTGTTGAACAGGGAATTGACTGTAGTCATATGAATCATTTCTTGTTTCACTACAGTGTTATGAGTTGTTTCTTATTTGATTGCTGTTAAACAAAGAGTTGACTGTAGTCATAAGAATAATTTCTTATTTGACTGCTGTTGAATAGGGAATTGACTGTAGTCGTATGAATCATTTCTTGTTTGACTGCTGTTGAACAGGGAATTGACTGTAGTCGTATGAATCATTTCATATTTGACTGCTTGTTGTATGAATCATTTCTTATTTGGCTCCTGTTGAACAGGGATTGACTGCAGTGATATGAATCATTTCTTATTTGACTGCTGTTAAACAGGGAGTTGACTGTTGTTGTATGAATCATTTCTTACTTGACTGCTTTTGAACAGGGAGTTGACTGTTTCTGTATGAATCATTTCTTACTTGACTGCTTTTGAACAGGGAGTTGACTGTTACTGTATAAATCATTTCTTATTTGACTCCTGTTGAACAGGAATTGACTGCAGTGATATGAATCATTTCTTATTTGACTGCTGTTAAACAGGGAGTTGACTGTTGTTGTATGAATCATTTCTTATTTGACTGCTGTTGAACAGGGAGTTGACTGTTGTTGTATGAATCATTTCTTATTTGACTGCTGTTGAACAGGGA